CATCCTGAGGTCCCCAGCCACGGAGCCGAACGAGACCTATGCGACCCAGACTCCTGGTTAGGGTTTTTATACCCTCATGTCAGGTCAACGTATCTGGTGACATGCGTAATACATGCACCAACCCTGCGTAATCTATGGAGGTCGATCATTTCCTCCAGTGGTCGACCTCAGTTACCTAAAACCTAACCTCAGCATTGCTCGTCCGACTGCCCCACCACATTCGTGCAATGCTGCGTAGACAGCAGTGTTCAAACACCGACAGTCTATTTCTATCCTGTTTTCTTAATGGCCAAGTTTCTGTGCCGTGTAGCAGAACTGGCCGCAGCATACACTCAATCCTTAACAGACAGCCGGATATCGTGACGGCGCCACAGATACCTCAAGTTGGCAAATGCCAACCGAGCCTTCTGTATGCGAGCTGACACTTCATTCGCGATGCGTCCACTGGGTGAGATGTTGCGACGATTGAGAAATAAAGAGCGCAATCAATCCAGTCCCGGTAAACGAATGGAGGGAAAAAAGAAACATATTTGGTTTCATGGTGGAATACGAATCAAAAATGCACGTTTAACGTTTCACATGCGATCGGAAATCCTTGGAAGCAATTGATGCGATTTTGCAAACCTATTTGTTGGATATCACCGCCTATGCAATGTGTTAACGTAAACATAGCTATAAAACAACATCCACGTGCGTGTTATCAGTCAGAGAAAAAGTGAGAAGACTAAGTGGTTCGCATGAGATAAGATGAACGAGAATTTCCGTCTACGGTGTTTTTGGTACATTTCTCTGTGCGCAAAACCGCAGCAGATGCAAACACGGTAGTGACGAAGATCTACTATTTGGCTATGAAGACTGTCAACGCAAGTCCTGGGCCTCGGATAAATAAACTAAATCAATACCGCAACGAACGGGTACAACAGCAATTCGTGTAATATGGAAGGGATCGAACATCAGACCTGACAGATCGATGAATTTCGACCGGTAGCAACCACCGCCACCACCAGTGGTTTAGCAAGTCAGTTGAATCCCGACGAGAAAGAATCCAGAGCATGAATTTTTAGTACAGTGTTTTACTCACTTCAATCTCCGGACCAACAACAGTAAGTGGCTTGTTTGTAACCTATGCCCTCATGAAGGCTATTTCAAACGGACACTCATCAGGACCTATTATCAATAACGGAGGAGGGAACTCAAAACATGGTTTTCATGACAAGCTCAATTCGTTTCCCGTAATATGGATTATATGAGTAAACACTTAGATTTCATGCAACCCTGAACGGTCAAACTACTTGTCAAGCAAACAGGCCCGTACAGAACGAGAGATATGTTCCGTCCGGTACAGGGACTAGAACAGACTCACTTGCTCCTTTGTCATTGGAGTAAAACTGTGCATGTTGCATCCAACACACGACAAATGTTAACACATCGCTGAAAATGGAACAACAAATCGGATTATCAAGTACCTCAATTAAATGTCACTTACCGACATTCATCAAACAGGCGCTCGAAAACCTGTGGCATGGAGAGAAATTCAAAGACACATTGCAGATTGGACGGGAGAGTCGGTGGTTCAAAAGAATCCTTGTGAAACCGAGCATGACTCATAGGTATCCAGTGGACAGAAAATGCCTAGTGGAGAAGGGATTAGTGAAAAGTTAAGAGTTTATTGCTACAAGTTTACCGTTATCAGAAACATTCGAAACAGATTTGGCGGTAAGCTCAACAACGTGTTGATATTCATTTTCGGTGGTCCGGTTTCAGCCAAAGTCAAAATGCATAACTGACGAAGGGAGGGATCGCGGCGAATCAAATTCCGTTTTAATCTGCCCGAAATAGCACAACAATCGATCACGCCGTATGGTGTTGACAACGGCACGCGACGCTCGAAACTCTTCTCCGTGAAAATACGTTCACATTCACGCGGAGATTTAAGGCCAGACAGTGCCGAGAAACGAGAGAAGCAGTTTTGCAAGCGTTTCTCCTCATCGACACCATGAAGCACACCATCATAGACAAGCTTTGTAAGATAGACCAGCGACGAAGGAGGATTTACTGATGATGCAGCCAGTGTGGACGAAATAGCTGGCATCACATTAATCCGAATGGTTGAGCACAGGATCAATCACGAAAAATAACTAGATAAAAATGAATTAAAGAACAATAATATACAAAATATTCTGAAGTAAGCTTCCCCACTGCCTACCAAAAATACACATCCTATGAGCGAAATCTTTCGGAGAAGAACGATGCTCACTGAAGTGCAGTAAGATTGCGCAGAATAGAAACCATAATGCCAACACAAATAAACGAGATACAAAACCAAAGATAAACATGGATTATTCATACTATTCGTGGAATTTATCATTGTTAATACCAAATTCGTCTTAGACTGATGTCCCTCAATCAACACGTGCTGCATCAGGATCAGGTATATCTACTGTACACACTACGAAGCAGGCGTTCTCTGCCCGACAACGCATTGTGCTCAGTCTAAAGACCACCATCGTCCAGTGTTTATGGTTTATTACGTTGTTGAGACTCAAAAGTTCTGATTTCATGATAGCATTTTTCGATAACGGGATAGGTTGAAAACCATACTTTTGATTGTTCCTCATGATGTTAAAAATTTTACTTTGATTTTCTACTTCCTTTTATTGAATACACAATGATAGTTTCCAGGATGGCCGATCAAAACTGTTCCATACAACACATAATGGGGGGGGGGAAGTCGTGCGATGGTGAGGGGATCCGAATACTCACCCTCCGGGGTCATACTTTGGTTACGGTACCACCGAGCCATCACTTAACGATTAATGAAGAAAACCCAAAATGCAGTCTCCAAGGTTTGAAGCAAAAATAACAGACCCCCAATGGGATGGGCATAACATCGAACAGGGTGACAGTTCAGCTGTTCATCACCAGTGAGATGACAATGGTAGTGCTCCAACCTCGAAAATAAAAAACCTATGCACATGAGTACTAGTGACTCAAACTACCAGGCCACCCTAACCCATTTTACCGGAGAGAACGCTGACTTCGATATAACTTCTTCAATATATGCAAAAGCATTAATACAATCATGATCATAATCTTACGAAGTTTATGAAATGATATGCATGCAGAGATCAGTGAAAATTGCTTCACTCTATTTCGCTGTACGAAGATGATGCACAGCGAGGATTAGTTTGTGCTACCCAGATTCAGCTTATACAACCATGAACAATGAACTTTCGTAAGGCGATTTTGGGTGGTCTTTTAGCTAGCCATCGATTACACTGACCCGAGGGGTCTCCCAACTGGGTGGTGGCGGCGCAGTGGTTTAGTCGCTGCCACAGGACCCTATGGTCCGAGGTTGGAGCCGCGCCACCGCCACCAAACTTTGGTGGTGGGCAGCTTTGCTGTCGTCCGGTTCAATACCACGCCTGACCTATCGGGGCGTTATGTGCTTCACCACTCCAAGTCCTGGGGCTTAGGTTACCGGTTTCCATCAGTGAACAGCAGGTCCTCTTGACCATGGGGCTTTNACTTTGGTGGTGGGCAGCTTTGCTGTCGTCCGGTTCAATACCACGCCTGACCTGTCGGGGCCTTATGTGCTTCACCACTCCAAGTCCTGGGGCTTAGGTTACCGGTTTCCATCAGTGAACAGCAGGTCCTCTTGACCATGGGGCTTTCCCCGTCTGCTGTTCACCATACGAAAGTGTGTAATAAAAAAAACCTAACGCGACCTACATATGTGAGTACCTTGGTAACGATTTTGACACCCTCATGCCATGTTCCAGTTTGACTGTCTTTGACCTTCTTTCAACCTCCACCTGAAGACAACACTGACAAACACTGCACGTCCAGACAATCTACTTGGTGACATGTGTAGCACACACCCTAACCAACGTAATCTACGGAGATGATCACTTACTCTAGTGGACGACTACGATTGTCTAAAACTTGTTTTTTAAGATTGACCGACCAGATTCATGCAGGGAGGCGTACACAGCGATGTTTGAACACCGATAGTTCAGTTTGATTCTGTTCGCGTAATAATCAAGTCTCTGTATCATATAGCAGCACCGACCGGCCCTGCTGCAGTAGATACTCGATCCCTCATAATGTCGTGTATTACACTCTTTATCTATTGCATATTGCTGTATTCATAACATTTCTCTTTTATACGTGTCAGCCTGTATGCCAGAGTTGTTAGACGGGCTCTTAGTCCTCTCTCCCCCGAGCAACTACCTACTGTTGTAATCTCGTATTCGGAATATAACAATTTTTTCGTCTAAACAATGGACGCGGATCCAAGTTGTCCCTCAGTCGCGAAAGTCTGGAATCATTGGCTTCGCACATTCACCATGTTTATCTCCAGAGTGGCGAAATCAGAAGACGAAAAGCTAAAACACCTCATTGGATGAGTTTCTCACACCGTTTACGAGTATATTGCCGAGAATGAAACGTTCCAATCCCGTATGATGATCCTAGAGAAACTTAACATGAAACTGAAGAACGAGGTTTTGCTCGACACATACTCTCTACCAGTAAACAGGAGGCAGGTTAGATTCTTGATCAGTTTATGTAGAAGCTGAAATCACTTGCAAAAGACTAACTCTATAGCCGTCACGGCCGAAAAGAACAACGCCATAGGAGATGCTTTTATCAGTGGAATGCAGTCCAGTAGCATCCGCCAGCGCCTCTTGGAAAACCGGATCCTTGACCTAGAAACAGCATACGAACAGACTAGACCCTTGGAGATGGCATATCAACAGTTCAGCGTCTTTCACCCAGTGGATTCTGCTTACACAGCTGCAGTCGTGGACCCCAAGTCACAAAAAGAGTCTACATCAAACTTGGTGCCCCACCAACCCAATTCATTGGAAGAAAGTATAGCCGCTATGAGCAACATTCGCTGTTTCTTCTGTGGATATTCTAAACATTCTCGTTTCAGATGTCCGGCTAAAGATGCAATCTGCTAGTCTTGCGGAAAAAAGGACATTATCAGGTTTGTCGATCCAAGCCAAACTCAAATTCATCGTGTTACCAACTCTCTTATATCCTCCATTACTCTCGCTGCAGCTCCATTGTCTGTCCAATGCAGTCATCCGGTTCTCTGTCAACGGAATATCTCTCCAGGCTCTCATTGACAGTGGCAGTTCTGCTAGTTATTTATAGAACTCCGTGGTACGAAAACATAAGTCGATGGTCTAAAAATCTCGTAGTGCTGTATCCATGGCTTCGATGAACCTAACCAGTTTCACCCACGGACATTGTTTTGTTAATTTATTGTATAAGAACCATCGTTATTCAAATATCAAGCTGTCAGTGTTAGATAACCTCTGTTGAGATGTCGTCCTTGGACACGATTTCTTCCGACTACACTCAAAAATAGAAATTCCGTTCAATGGAGCCAAAGATTCATTTTCGGTCTGCAGTGTAGCGGCTGTGAATATCGAGCCACCTCCGATCTAACAATCTTACACCTGATTGTGCTCCAGTTGCAACCAAGTCTCGGACGCATTCACCCTCTGACGAGCTGTTCATCAAAACGGAAGTGCAAAAATTGCTGAGAGATGGTATCATAGAACCTTCGCATTCTCCTTGGCGTGCTCAAGTGCTTGTTACCACCAAAGAACGTCAAAAAAGCAGAATGGTAGTCGATTACCGTCAGACTGTTAACCGCTTCACACTCCTGGATATCTACCCCCTACCCAAGATGAACAAAAAATGGTAGAGAAAATCTCACGGTATACGACCTTCAGTACACTGAAGCAAGAGCAAGAGCATTAGAGAAACGTGAATCGTTTATACGAGGTTGCTCGTAAATACTCCTTCACCTTCAATGACGCTAAAAGCATCATCAACACAGATAAAATCAAGATACTGGGGTACGAAGTCTCTCATAGATTCATCAAACCCGACCCGGATCGTCTACGAACCCTGCTGGAGCTGCCGCCTCCTTGTGATCAAAAATCGATGTAACGGGTTATTAGGTTATTTTCGTATTACTCTCAGTGGATATCTAATTTTCTGAAAAGATTAACCCTCTGGTCAACAACAACACATGCCCGCTGCGTATAATGTTCTGAAAAATGAACAGGCTAGAGCGGTGATGAAAACCGTCGATCCTCACACTCCTCTAGTGCTGAAAACCGATGCTTCAGATGTAGCAATTACCGCTATACTATCGCAGGGAGGGACACCAATTGCGTTTTTCTCACGAACAGCGTCACTCTTCCGTCGAAAAAGAAGCCTGTGCTATTTTCGAGGCGGTCCGAAAATGGCGGCATTACTTAATCGGTTCACATTTTCTTGCTATTACTGATCAGAGGTCAGTCGCATTCATGTATGAAAAGCAGCAGCGAGGGAAAGTGAAAAAAGAGAAGATACAGCGCTGGAGTATCGAACTATTTTGCTACAGCTTTGACATATAATATCGTCCAGGTAAAGAAAATGTAGTTGCTGACACTATATCGCGTGCACATCACATTCACATTGACTACCGTGTCCTTAAAGGAGCTTCACAGTTCTCTATGCCATCCTGGCGTCGTGCGTCTTCTGCATTTTGTGAGATCCCGAAATCTACCCTATTCCATACAAGACGTAAAAAACACCATCGCCCAATGTATAGTGTGCTACGAATTAAAGCCGAAATTTTGCAAACTGCCCATCGGGAACCTTATCAAGGCCACCGCCTCATTTGAGAGGTTAAATATGGATTTCAAGGGACTAATACCATCACATACACGTAACAAATATTCATTCACAATAATTGATGAATATTCGCGATTTCCGTTCGCATTTCAGTGTATCGATATGATACTACTATTATCAATCACCTCTATCAACTATTTTCTGTATTTGGTACACCTTCTTACATTCACACCGACCGTGGTTCTTCATTCATGTCAAATGAATTTAAACGTTTCCTTTATGCTAAAGGAATCGTAACTAGCCGAACCACCGCATTCAACCCTCAAATCAATGGACAGATTGAGCGGTTCAACAGTACACTTTGGCATGCAATCACCCCAGCCGCCAAATCGAGATCTTTATCTTACAGTGATTGGGAAGTTCTTCTTGATGTTTTACATTCTTTTCGTT